GGGAATATAAAAAACGCACGTTAGTTCTCACGATGAGATAAAGACTCAATATAAACAAGTGTTCAGCTTGAAACAGAACATCAGGAAACAAGGAACAAATTACAAGAGCATCATGAACTATGAAAGATAACGATATTTATGATCTTCCTGATTGTGGTCGACTGGACTGAACTGGATCATGCAGCAAGCCGTGAGGAGTGAGAAGATGGGCATACGCTGACTGGACCGATGAAATGACCCCAGGAGAAGATTTGAATTTCGCCAACGATGATGATTGATGTCTAATTTCTTGTCGCACAAACTCGAAGATCTACAGGCGAAAAACCAACAAGTTGACAAAAGAGGCAAGGCAGCGAAGGAAGACGGGGCTTCAAGTGAACGTAGAGAAAAGAGAGGTGATGGAGATATCCAACAACAACAGCAATAACAACAGCGACAACAGTAACAAACGTCAATCACCAACAGCGGGAGAAACCTACCTAGGCAGTAACTACAGACGGTGACACAGATGAAGATGTCAAAGCCAGGATCGGGAAAGCAAGACAGGCTTTCACTAATCTGAAACCAGTGTGGAGATCTGCCCCACTCCACTCAGCGTAAAGAGTGAACAGGATCCGAATTTTCAACACTAATTCAGTCAAGTCAGTGCTTCTATGTGATGGTTGAGAGACTTGGCGCTTCACGACAAGCATTTCCAACAAACTACAGACATTCATCAACAGCTGCCACCTACGCTGACTCCATACTGAAGATCGGATGTCCAAAATACTAAGAATAAGGAACAAGGTACTTTGGCTGACAACGAAGCAAGAACCAATCGCCCAACAAATGTGCAGTAGAAAGTGGAGATGGATTGGATTGGGCATACACTGAGAAGACCGACTGGGGACATCACGCTCCAGACCAGGTCATCGGGTGGAAACGACGAGTTGGGCGTCTGAGACGAGGGTGATGTGGGGGAGATGGTGTGAGGAAGAAATGAAGCTTGTGGAGAGTCATGGAGCGAGGTTCGAGAGACTGCAGAGAAGAGAGTGAAATGGCGATGTGCTACTGAAGCCCCATGTTCCACTAAAAACCCAAGGGACAAATTTATATATATATATATATATATATATATATATATATATATATATATATATGCAACAAGAATAAATCAAGAACTGCTTTTCAGGATAAGTGCTGTTAATCAACTAAGATATTGAGCTTGAAACTTTGAAGTTGGAAAGTTTCAATGAGGAATATGAAGTCGTATTAGACTCACTAGTGTGAATTATGATTTATTTGCAATCAGTATACACTTGACAAAGTGAAATGCATCGTTTTTCTTTATTTTAACCAGTTTAAGAACGTTAGATTGCTATGATCTTCAGGAAGTAAGGTAAGCTAATCAGTGTCTGCTGAAAAATAACCTCTTTCGTTAACTTGAAAGGCCAAGCGACTGAATATGTTAATGCGCTTATAATCGTAGAAAAACATTTTTGAAACACGTAGGATAAAAACAGTAGCGATTTTTGTTACTCCCTTCTGTATATTTTCTTGCGTAGTTGTGTTTCGACTCGTGCTTAACTTCTTTACATTTGGTATATTTCTCGATCCGCATGTTGTACCATGCACTTAAAAGAATACAATTGTGAAATTTTCTATTTTCAGGAATTAATGAAAAAATGGTGTTATGCATCATTATTCATTTGCGTGATAAGATGCCCTCCTCTAGACACACTTTTATTTCACCTCTCTCTTTGCTCGCTATCTCATAAACTTTGAAATCACATCTTGTTTTTTCTACTCTTTTCGGCACTGCCTAGGAAACTTTTTTGGAGGTTAACTCACTCTACAACTGCTTTCAGTGATGGCGATTTCCGCCTCAAGATCTCTCTCTAAGAGCTTATTTTCTCATTTTACCAGACAGTGTTACAAGTTTCGATTTCAAATGCTCAAAGGGAACAATTTGTAGGTAAGTTGATGACTTGTCTAAATGTTTTTGCCACAGCTAGTGTTCTTCCATTGATTAATAACATGCATTTTACTAATATCCGCTTGGTAATGAAGTTGTTGAGTGTGCAGTGTAACTGTAATGAAGAACTAGAAACAATGGCTATATGATTAGTGTACTTTTAGTAGTGTGATATTTTCAAAAGTGTTTGCTTCGCGTAAGACATGGAAATATCAGCGTTAATGTATTCCGACTCAAATTTCATTAGGAGTAGTGCTTATAGAGTTTCTTATAACTGTGAAAATTAAGCACACTAAAATATGTTGTTGCTTCGGTGAACTCATAGGGTGAACTTCGCTTCCTCAATCATATAATGCAATCAGTCGTAAGAGCCAGGTCGGTGTCCTAGCTACCCTATGGTTAACAATTCAAAAGCACTATTCATCTTTGGGGTTCAGTGGTTTGTTGCCATTTGAACAGATAACAGTTTCACGATAATTTGACTGAAACAATGTGATTTATTGGGTGACTTTAAAGGCCACCCAAGCAAAGATCAGAATGACCAATTAGGTTTCTGCATTTGGCTGCAGATTCAGATTTTCATAAAATGGAGAAGTCTGATCGGTTATTTTCGTTGTTGCTAGGGTGGCCTTTAAATTCACTCTATTTATTGAGTGAAATAGCAAATTAAGTTTTTTTAATTTCACTCAGAAAGGTTGATTTTCATAAATAAAGAAGTATAATTGATAACTGCGACTGTTGCTAGAGTGGTCCTTATAGTCAATTTATTCAAAAAACCTTCTTGTCTAACTTCATAATTTACAAAAATCAAGACAGGCTGAAGTGATAAGAATTAGTGTTAACAAAAGAAAGAAAAGGATTAATTATTTTTCCACTTAGATTGAAGATATTACTGATTAAATGAAAATGTTTTTATCTGGATAACTTCAGTTCAAACAGATTGAACAATGAAGAGTTCAAGATTGTTTGCTGTGTCACATCTTTAAAAGTATACGATTGTTATACTGATGAACGTCTTATTATGAAACATAACTCTATAGTTATACTTGTTAATTTGAGAATAAATTGAGAATGAATGTTATTTACATTGCTTTTATCATAGAAAACAAGTTTGATGAATATCATCAGTCTCTTTAATAGGATATCCTAGCCAGCATTTACTTTGGGCGCTCTTTGGAACTTTCAGGTTTCACCCGAAGCTACTTCGGGCGCACTTAGCAACTCCTGGTCTTCTACGCAAGACAAGCGTCCTTTTAAGAAGACGCTAATGTCTAAAATTATTTTCAGTAAGTGATCGTTTCAATTTTATCACTTACGAAGACGTCCTTTTTAACATCCACAGGCATGGGAACGACAATCAAGAAGTGACTGCCAAGAAAATATGGACTCAAATGCAAAGGTGGCTTCATAACAGTCGCGACCAAGTAAAGATGAGGGTGAAAAGGCTGAAGAAAAGCAAAACGGTAAGCTTAATATGTTCCCTAGTACAATTATCATAGGTAACTGAATTACCCGAAGGTGGTGAGGTTGTCCCTGTCTTAGTCTGTACATACGCGGAGAGCACTCGTCCACCCAGTTCGCCAAAGAGTGTCAACGAGATTCAATAAAACGGAGAAGAGTATTCTGTATTTGTCGTTTTTACAATATAAATTTATTTCCATATTTCCGTCTTTTGCATACCGTTTGATGAGCGTGAAACGTTTTTTAAACTTCGGGCGCACTTCGTGACTTTTGACACTTTCGGGGAAAAGGTTTGCAACATTCGGGGATATCATGCGTCACCCGATAGGCGCCCGAAATAAAATTTCGGGTTTTTGCTCGAAAGTTACAAAGTGCGCCCGAAGTAAATGCTGGCTGAGATCTACCAATGACACAATTGTTTTATTATTGAGGTCCACATAAATAAGCATTATATATCACGTCAAATAAACTAACACCTCTTGTCAATACACAAAAAGCAATCTAATGAAAAGACGGAATAAATAGCGTCTGTTAAGTGGTTCGTCTACACTATGCTGCTTATTTCCAAACTACATTTTATTCTATTCAATAAAGACAGTATGGTGTAGATGTGTCTAGGATTACTGAGTGAAATTTTTATCCTTAACATGTCAAAGTAAGATTATGGTATTCTATCAGAATGCTGACTCAAAATTAAACCCACATCGTTAATCAGTTCAGCTTTCATCTGCAAGACAGAAATAACATTTTTACAAACTCTACTGTAAAAGGTGATTTTTGTTCAACTTCACTTTCAAAAACAGTCCTCCTAGGTAAGGTCAAATTACGAAACTAGGTTTCATAGTTTTTGCTTAAGTAATATAGTTTCTGTCACCATAGTGGATCAAAGATATAGGTGATGCAGTAATGCATAGTGTGCAATATTTCACTTAGCGATTTCTTCAGAAACTACTAAACGTACTCTTGTGAAGACCACACAGGTCCTTCTGAGATAATAAGTGCAACTTAATGTTTCATTTTAAACCACCTTTTTGTAAATATCTGTCAATCTTTTAGAAGGATGTTATTTCAAGTTAGTATTCACACTAGTGACTGAAATCACCCGGAGAATCATGAAAAACTTGGACCTACTAGAGAGCTGTTTCGTTCTAGTACACGACTTCTTAGTAGTGCGCATGCATAACCCTACTAGAGATTGAACACAGGATCGTTGGATGCTCGTCACGTTGAACCGATAAGATCAGTTTGCCAACAGTGTGTCACGAAATTCCCAATCAAAAATTGACCAAGTCGACCAGACTCTTCCCTAAGAAATAATGAGTGACCTAATGACCTACGTCTAATCACGCTTGTTAAGTATTCGGGACGTTTTATCTTATTTTCATTTGTACAATGCAGAAAGAAACTAATGACTTGTTATATTTTACAAACGATCACATGTTTTAATGAGATGAATCAATTTAAAATGATAAGTATTATCAATATACATAGGTGTTTTCATGACCTCACGATTCAAATAAGTAATGATGAACACTTCTGCTGATCGAATTGGTGGCATGGTGGATGGAAACTTTTTGTACTGGATCTATTGGAAACAAGCTCGATCAAGTAAACGAAATTTGAAGTATTCTGATATGAACTTGTCATACAATTCACTATCTGCAACAAAGAAGTAAATGAAGAGGGTGACTGATGACTTTTGCATAAAAAATAGAGCTGAAATTCAGTGTTTCAAGATGTCAGCTGTTTGTTCATTTGTTGTTAACCAAACCACAGCAGTTATTAAGAAGTGATCATCTTCTCATTTATTTGTTTGAAGTTCTCACAAACTATATGAATCATTTTTCTATCTGTAAGATGGCATATCTGTCACTGTTTACACAATTGTTTGTCAGTAAGAGATTCTTTATTTGTAAACATAATGAGGAGAAACATCGACACAGGTCACTATCGCGTGGCACAGTTATACCTGTTGTATACTGACTTCTGTTGAAATCTAGTCTATGAAGTAGAAGTAACTAAGTATCTGATGATAGATTGCCTGAGATGTTTTACATTATAGTTCGAGAAAACTATGACAAAGTATGAATACTTATTAATGTTTTTGTGTCTACAATAAACCAAACTTCAGTGTCAACATAAATAATATTAACCATCAACTAGACCAAACGTTTCGGAAGAAAATATCAAAACCTAGTAAATTTTGTCTAATAATTATTTTTTTAACGAAGTGCTTAAGCTTTATAGTCGCAGTCGCTTTCAGATTGATATTCACCATTCCACGGGAATGACTGAAAATGCAGACCAACCAGGAAAAACAAAACACCTACCGTCAACACGTCAAACTGTATATATCAATTCGAATGTTTGCAGAAGCAGAAACATAGGTTACCAGGATAGACAGCTATCTGTTGGCATGATTGTACAATTACTTAAATAAGGAGGTCGTTGCGGCCTGCAAAAGCCAAAAAGCTTTAAAATCAAAAGTCACGAAGACTTTAGGAGTAGTATTGCTCTATCAAGTTGTTTGGAGTAGTTAGTAAAACAAGAATTAAGATGTTGCTTTTAATCATTGAGGATTGAGCAATTCAGGTTCACGAAGCAATCCTTTGCGTGTAGAAGAAAGTGTTGGTGATGATGTTATAGTGAGAATTTCTAAAGATTTGAATTGTTAACCACTATGAATTTGCCTTGGAAACATTTTTAGTAGACAGTAACTTCGGTAACTTATGCAAGAAGGATTTTAAACACTGAAAAATTCCATTATCACTCATCAAAAGACAATAAGAACGACAATATTCTTTTCCATTAAATTCTCATCAACTTCAACAATTATGAAATAGAATTGTTCAATGAAAAAATACAAGCCAGGTTTATGACCAATACATTTTCCAAAGAGAAATCCGAGGTGAATTGCCTTCAGTTTATACGGAGTCAGAGGAGGAGAAGGGCCTGAAAGTGTTTCTACTGAATCCTTAGTTCAAGTTTGATGAAGTTTATTTCCACAACTTCAGCTATTTTCAAGATGCACTGATGGTTATTTTTTGATATTATATATTAGTATATATCATATTAAAAAGCCACATGGGGTAAGTTTAGCGGAACACAGTGTATGACAGTAAAAGCTGTATTGCCATCTATATGGTGCCGTATGTCCATCAGGGGTGTGTTGAGAAAGAACCTTCTATGAATGGAATTTCACTTTTTCTATGTTGTTCTATATTTTGGTAATCGGAGACGCACCTGACTAATTGTACACCCTAAGTCAATTATTCCACATGACCAGTTCAGTTGATATATGCAAGATGTGAAGCTAAGATTAGATAAGGTATCCTTTAGTCCTCGGATGAGTGTTAGAAGACCATACAAGAAGCAGAGACGTCCTGAATAAAACATCCTATTTACTACTGAAGTTAGGCGTTGTGGTAAGATGTCACTCGGAGTGTCTCTCTTGCGTTATAAGTGCAGAAGCACAGGTTCCCTCTCTACTGTCATAATTCATATTTACAATAATTTCGACGACGTCTACTTAGATGGACTTTTCAGGATTTCCTATTTAGTTAAGAACAACATAGATAGCGAGTAGTTCTTTCTCTACACACGTCTTGGAGGAAATTGATCTTAATATAGGTGTAAAACTTGGGCACTGTAGTGGAAATTAATTCTGTATTAGATTTTTGTTTATTTGATTTATAACACACAGTGATCTAGTATTATTTAATTTATGGCGTTTCGAGCATAAATTATTGCTCATAATCAAATGTCTAAATGATAGAGCTAGAAAACTAACTAGTCAGAGCAAGGACCTAAACAAGGAATTGAAACACGTAAAAGAAGCGCTAATAGTTGATAATTATCCTCCGCAGTTCATTGAGAAATTCTTATGGACACACAAAAAACGAAAAAATAACAGTCACACGACTGCGACTAATAACGAAAACACGAGAGAAAAGGAGTTCACAGCCTCCATTGAATTACCCTATAAAGAGGGTACCTCAGAAACTTTACGTAGAATCCTCAACAGAGCTGGAATTAGGGTGGCATTTAAACCTACAAACTCACTCAGAGATAAACTTTGTCATCTGGCTTAAGGATTCGATAGAACCAATTAAGCAAAATAATATAATCTATCAAATACCATGTAATGACTGTGTACGTATGTAGGTCAGTTAGAATAGCCGAACATAGGAATTAAGCTAAATATAGAATATTGAGGGAGTTGTGGAGATTTGAAAATATTTCAAGTTGTTATTCATCGTAGACCGACATCAGTTGGAGGATCAAAGAAAACCTGGGAGCACTGGACAGCTGTTTCGTCCTAGTATGGGACTCCGCAGCACTGTGCACCCACGACCCAACCAGAGATCGAACCCGTGGCCTCAAAATTCAATTGAACTGGTGCTCATTGGTGACTAGCTTCGAGAAGTATTCCCGAAGTTCCAATGAGAAGTCGTGACCGGTGGAGTCAAAGCCTGATAGTCGTGAGGACAGATACTCAACGATGACACTGGGTGGCTGTTGTGCTATATCATGAGCTAACAGAAGTTGGAAATATGGAGCATTGGATTCCGCCGAGCCAGTGGCTCAATGGTAACGCGCTGGCCGCAGAACCTGGAAGTTGCGGGTTCGATCCCTGGTTGGGTCGTGGGTGCACAGTGCTGCGTAGTCCCATACTAGGACGAAACAGCTGTCCATTGCTCCCAGGTTTCCTTTGATCCTCCAACTGATGTCAGTCTACGATGAATAAAAACTTGAAATCTAGAACAGCAGACATGAATAAGATCATTAATCTAGAAAAAGACTCAGCTGTTGCTATGCATGCGTTAACACACAACCACACAATAGGGTGGGATAAAGCCACCGTACTTAAGTCCAATATACTTAGGTGGAGAGAGAGACTGGTTACTAAATCTTTGTTCATCGAATCAACATTTGACATGTGTAATAGAAATGACTCAACACCTATACCAGAGATATGGAAAATTTTGCTACCAATAAAAACAACTCATATAAAGTGATGTAACTATTAAAATCAAATGTCGAAAGTAGTGTGATTACATTGATATGATTATGAGCAATAATATATGCTCGAAACGTCATGAAGTAAATAATACTAGATCACTGTGTGTTATAAATCAAATAAACAAATATAATATGAAATTGATCTTACTTTAAATGCAAAACATCTGACTATACTGAGTCTGAAATTTAGTGGTATGAAACTTAGAGGATGTTCATAGTATGCCTTAGTCATTGATTTTCCGTTTCTATGTTTTTTTATGGAGCCATCCTCTTTCCTTGTAGCTAACAATCCGAAAATCTGTGTGGAATTACTGATTTCACAATCACATATAGAAAGAGTAGATGTATGATGACGGAGGAATAATGTAACATCAAATCATGATAATCATATGCTGATCAAATTTAAGTTTTTTATTCTGTCGACAAACTGAAAAGTGTATTTGACTCTATATTTCGTCAGCTCTTCACGCAAAGGTTGAAGTAATTGTCCACCCATCTTGTGATCGCACAGTTAAGTGAGTTAGTCAAGTCGACGATTGAACGAAGGGACACCACAGGTTTATTGATATCTCGTTAAGTCATTCATCTATGGAATCGTGCTGACTTTGAATTCCAACTTCTCAGATGTGGTGGACGAAACTTCCCTATCATCTCTGAGTTTCTTTAGTGAGACAGTTACATCGTTTTACTTTATCGCTTTGACCTTTCGTCGACCATTGTTTCTAAAATCTTCTTTCGTCCTGCAATACTGGATGTATTTTTATTGTCATCATTCCTCTTCACAAATAAAACTGCCTATCGTTCATCAAATCTAGTGATGACGATGTTTCTACCTATTCTGAATCCTTTGATAACCTCGTGATACCACCTAGTAAGAATACCTACTCTCATATCCTTATTGCTTTTTGTGCTGATCGCAGCAGTTGACTAGAATTTATTCAAATCTTTCCAACTCTACACTAAATACACTACAACCAAACTAGTTATTTTCACTAAAACGTGTCCAGACTGTACATGCAAACGTATATTTCGTCAATTTGTTCTTGATTGTTGCAAAATTTAGGTTGTAATTTATTGAGTAGTAATAATTACGAATGTGAGCCTCAGGACTTGCTGGAAATTCGTGGTTTGGCATTTGACTTTCTAAACCCCCTAACAGAAGAAAGTGAAAATTTCAAGTTTCAAGAGATGGAATTAAATGACAATTCTGTTAGCGATCTCAAGCAGTTTCTGTAAAACGTTCTGTCGTATATACGGATTACAGTAAATTATTCAAGCAGTTTTAATAAACAGAATGCATTATATCGATCTATATTCAACCAATTATTGTACACTATCAGCAAACGAATAAGGATTTTCCTTTAAAATATTCAGGCTGTGCTGCTGCTTTGAATGACCGATAGTCATGTAAGAAATAGTACAATACAATGCTAACTTGATAAAGATATTCATCTTCTGTACTTTCTAAATCCTACTGGTGCTACTTCATGTCTTGGATAAGTTAAGCAAACAACCAGATCCACGAAGGAATATCTTTCTTACCTTTCATTATTTTCAGTGTAAGTTTATTTTACACAGTCCAACACATATGTGCTAATGAATCATTAACTACTCTAGTGTTGCATAGATGCTGAAGTCAGCCCCTTTGTAACACAAAGACCAAGCTGAAGCCAATTAAAGTGGGCGGAGGGAGGGGTAATATGTGGAATTAGTCATCTTCAGCTGGCAGTCATTATGAAAATATTTTAAGTAAAGTAAATTACACCTGATGTTTAGATACTTACAGATAATACAATACTGCAAAATGAGTTGTTTTTAGAAAAAATGAAGGCTACATTGCAGACAGAAAATGATTACCTTATAAACTTTTATTCATTATGGACTATATTCCCTTAAGGTGGTGAATCCAGTCTTTCTAACAGATGAAAAGATAGGAAAAGGAGCATCTGTAATAACCTTGTGATGAATGTTCACTACGACTTTTCTCTCTTTTCAATAATTAATTCTAAATGATATAGTTAGTTTAAAATGTGGTAAGGTAAACAGCACCATCAAGGCATTGAAGCACTTGATATTATTATTAATGTTTACTTATGTGTACAATCTGACAGTAAATCATAATATTTGAGTTGTGAAATTTTATATGCAGAATTTTTGTTTCGAATTATCTGATATTTTAGTTTTAATTAAAAGAGTTGCAATTCATTGATTCTGCTGGTTAATGAAGTTCATATACTGCAAAAATCTACTCTGAATTCGACTGTAACAAATCAACATCTGTCTGTTCTATATTTAAACGAAACAACTTTGCTTCGTAGTTATTTCGTAACAAAAATCAAGCACAAATTTCTATTGCATAGTGAACATTTCTTTAGTGACAGTAACTTATGCAGTACAAGTTCTAAGTTAAGTGACCTCAGAACAACGGAGTTAGAGAATTCTAGTGACTATCAAACTAGATATCTCATCTCACCTTTGTGTAGTACATGGTTAGTCATAAGTGTAGTCGGTACATTGGTACAGTAAATCAATTTTATTGTCAGAGACATCCATTGTTTCATTCAGACTACGAAAACACTAACATGAGCATATGTGATACTAAAGCTTGTGACATAACACTGGGGAATAATGAAGTAAACATTGGACTTATTTCTAGCAAAGAGAATTACTTAAGTTTCAGTATACTTTGATGATTCCGTGAAACATTTTCACCACAAGTTCCGTTCAGTTACTTATGTAGCCTGGTGTGTCGAATACAATGTTTCTATGTAATGCTGGATCTCAGGAGCGTAGAGCTACGGCCTTTCGACATAACAAATCAACATCATCAATATCAAACATGTTGCAATAACCAAGTTCCTTCTGATTTCAATTCTCCATTATGATTCGATAACTCTTGAAAGGTGAATGAAAGAAAACTTATTACGGATTCCGATGCCATATAACAACCCAGAAGTGACAACATCGTTTTTTGTTATTTGACAATTGGCTGAATAGTTTCCTTACTTCATTTTCTCAGGCAAACTTTATGCAAAACGTAAGATTGAGGCGACAAAAGCCACTAGGCTTAGAGCTGCAGATAATCAATCTTTGTATGAATGAAGTGAATAAACTCATTGATAAATCAGCAATACACGTTGACTAAGAAAGGATGGAGATTGTGTGTTAGCTAACTACACTCTAAAAACTTAAGCTAATCAACATGATGATTGCGATAACATCCTTCAGTAATCGGTAAATGCAGATAATCCCTGGTCATGTTCCCCTCGTTATTAGTTACACACCTCAGTGAACAGCTTTGGTAACAGTGATTTCAGGATATATACAGACTCCTTCAATCTGTTACTGTCTGTTAAGTAGACTGAGTGACTAAAGTGTAAACTAAGAGCTGTCTTCGAATTCTTCGTTCGGACGTCAAGAGAAGCATTTCTCGATCTGTTTGCTCTGCAGATATCTACCAATAGTTGTGTCTGCTCAGTTAGTTAGGTGAGAGGAACGCATAGCAGGGAGACACTGCTACCCATATACTTAGTATCCCTTGGATGAGCAGAAAATCTTCAGTGAGATTTGTGTAACAGTTATTTAGATTTGGCTTAGCCATACTATTGAAGCTGCAGTTAAGTTAAATCCTTATTTTTAAGGTAAATACGTTGGAGAATCCTACAAACGGCACAAATGTTTTGGCTGTGATTACGTCACCCATACACACTACCATGAAACATTTCATATAGTGCATGTAAATGCTGGTGAGAAAAAGAATGAGTGACAGGGATACCCTGTGCAAACAGGCTGTCATTTGCATCAAGCCAAGGGCAGGCAATGACTAATTTATCGACTGGAGTATTTAGATGTAGAAAACCTGAAGGCATATTTCAATTCCACTGGTATTTTGTAATCCAATATCCTGTCAGTAGAATTCAAACGCTTCATTATAGTTTCAGGCTTGATCTGTGTTCAGTCGTAGCAATGTCCCATTCACTGTCAGCTAACAGCACATCGGTATGAAATCTCATTGAACCTGTTGAGCATAATCAAGAAATAAAGGTATAAAAGCAAACACAACTTGCCTGACAACAGGTATGTTGCTGTTCCCCCTAAGTATTTTACATTTATGATATATACTACTAGTTAATCATCGCACGAAGTGCAGTGCGTTCCTGTGACAAACCACTTAATCCAGTTGCCACACCATGAACTTAACCAATAGAATTTAGTCACTAGTGAGCAGCGACGACTAGATAGCTGCACTGACTAACTATTGTTGACGCGATTGTGTATGTAGTTCACTCCCACAGGGTGTCTATTATGGCTTGAATATCTTAGTAGTGAAGTTTCCAAACTTTTCTCTAAGTAACACAAATTCGACACACAAACGAAACACCAGTTTCACGATGGTTGAAGATCTACCTTCCTGGTGCTTGTCAGTATACAGGAAACTTAGGTTCAGGGTTTCCCGACGAACAACTATTAACATCTAACATGTAAATACAGTGCACTTTAGTTTTGTGTCCCATAGCTTGCTGACTATATTTCAAATCTGATCGATTTAGTTCAGTCAGTATTACAGATTTGGCAGCTACATCGGTTACAATCCAGTGAGTCGTTTTCGTGCATCATTTACTAAGACTTAGGACAAGTGATAGTCTGTCAAGGTGATTGGTGGTAGAATCTCCGACTTCAGTAATGAACAAATTAGGATTAAGTTACAATCGAAATATTGTATTCCCTAGATGCACCTCAGTGATACATATTGATAAACATGAAACCATGGTACAGGGTTACCTACTGACTGACTCCTAACATCTAAAACAAAATCTGAATTAATTAATTTAAATATCCCCACAGATTATTCAGAACAAGAATAATTTGAGCGAATAATTGTTTTCAATAACTTCTTCTTTAGGCTCTTCAGTTCAAAAGAAATATGTACATTCGCTTTGTTTACCTTGGCCCACAACAGAGTCGACATGTTCTTTCTGCACTTTCCTACCATAAATTGCACATTTTAACCTCTTATCCCTTTCTTCTATACTGTCATTACTAGATTGATAAACATTCATTTTCTTATGTCATAAGTTTTACACCCTTTTTTATTCATGACACAACCTGTATTCATTTTCAACCGTGACGTAATACTTCCCATTTGATATTCTGGAACAATTCGATCCAATGAAACAATGGAGAATTGCAAGTATATAAATAAATAGTAATTAACCACTACCCGTTGTACAAGATGTGGCTATCGTTCCTCCGTGGCATAGTGGGTAACGTCTTGACTTTTGAAACCATGGGTACGAGGTTTGAGTTTCTGTGGGAACAACACCACTCGGCCCTGGGGTGCAAGTGTGTCCAGCTGACGAGCCCCAAATAGGACGAAACGCACGTACTGGATTTCTCTGCTAGCCACAACCAACTAAACTACCATAATTGACATTCAGGCAATATAGAGGCATCCGCACTGGAGCCCATATGCCAATAGATGTCGAACAACTCGATCAAGTGAAACAACGGAGAATTACAAGTATATCAATGAATAGTAATAATTCTCTATTGCGTTATAGTATTCACATGATTTTCATCCCACTTGAATATAACTCATCACTATATAATTATTATTTAACCCTTAGTAAAAAAACACGCATCCATGACACAATAAATGTATATAAATGAATCACTATCTGTAGATTTTGCCTCCTCATTTCGTAATTGTTCTGTCAATATTGATTTCATTGCACAACTAACTCACTAGACTGATAACTATTCCAACATTCTATTCGATTTGATCTCCATTCACCCATAACACTGACTGTTTCAATATAGTAAAAATTGTACATCATGCTTTATTTCAGGTATTGTATTTCAATTATTCTCACGGATATATAACTGTAGAGCCTGAAGAAGAAATAATTGAAAACAATTGTTTGCACAAATTATTCCTGTTCTAAAATTTAATTACGTTTCATTCTTGTTAATCCTAATCTCTAAGGTAAGTAGGATGAGATGTTTGAGTTACTGTCATGACTTGATTATCAGAAAACCAGTTAATCATCAGCAAATGGTTGTTATATGAAGATTTTTCAGCAAAATCTCAGGAGGTACAAACAGGAAATGTGCTTACCTGAGACACCACCACAATGCCGATTATGGGCTGTGAAGGAATCCATGGCAACATGAGTACTTATGGTCGAAAACGAATTTCACATGCGTATCATAGGAAATTCTTACACTGGTACAACTAAATAATTTAGGCTTCTTTTGTGCCTTCTAATCAATGTAACCGAAACATCCAACCTGCAGGAATTCTAACATACAAGTGGCTAAATATTGTATGTGTCCTGCCACTAGAAATAAACTACTTCAAAGAAAATGAAAGTGCATAGAAATTGTATTCTTTATAAGTGAAATTAATAGAGATAATAATTGAATGTGTTCAGTGGTTTACTCTCACTTACTTTCAAGTACTGTATCTGACCGATCAATGTTCTCAGTTGACAGAAAGCGCTTATCTTTCTTATCTTCTGGCTTTAAGTGATGATTAATATGTACGATTTTGGGTTGTTTAACAATCGTGGAATAATTGCGTTTTCTTAATTCAACTGGACTCAACCAACCGACAGGACACCTGAATTTGTCTGATCCATCACTTAGTTGAACATTCCATTGACATGGAATTTCATATAAAAGATCTTTGTATTTAAACACAATGGCGTTCATTATGTCCTAGAATGCGAAAATGATTGTCAGTGTGATAAAATATGATATGATAAATAGTATTGCTGTCAGTTTACTAGCACATCAGTTACGTGTTTTACTGAACAGAATGATCTGAATAATTGGAAAAATACTTTCTATGTATCGCTGTTAACTGGCAGTAACCATCCCTTTCGATTCAAGAATTTTGAAACAAAACTAAACTGCGTATTCAATCTCAATGAAAAGTGTTTCGATACAGGTCTTGAATCCTTCATCTTTATAGCTCCAAGTCTGAACGCTTGAAAAACTGAGGTACAAATTGAGAAAATAAAACCCAGTTCTTATGTATGTATAGGAGATTCAGAGAGTAGTCCTTATAACGTCTGTAAGTACACTTGTTAGGTATAAAATACTATTGAATCAAATTGCTTCTAATTCTACTCTCAGCGATAACCGGCGCAATCAATGTCACCAAAAGCTTTACAACATAAACACACAGTTGATCCTATATGGATTGACAGCAAACTTGACCAACTTTGTTCATTTCGCAAACAAAAACTTTCATACCAATTAGCAGTTTAAGTTCTTATCAAGTTTTCTGATGTTCATTTCGGTTGAGCGGCTGCTTAGTACAGTATGTCTTAGAACTTGTTATTTACCTTTTTGAATGACATTGAAGTCATCCTTTTGGTGTACAAGTGTGTGCTTGTGATTTAAAAAAATCTCTAAAACTACCACTAACATCACGATAGCTGTTTTAAGAACAAGTTAAAACCAGTAGCTTATCTTGTTAGTCATTTTCCTTCTATATTTCCAAACATGTTATTTATCACAATTGTTCATCAAAAACTGTTGATTGGTCTTGTTTTATCTATCCCATATATACACCTACGACCGTTTGATAAAGGTAATCATGCATTTATATTTTTCGTCACTTTCTAAACTGTCGTCATCCTCATCCTCATCCTGTACTACAAACGTTTTCCATCAGTTCAAAATCTCTTGGTAAAGTTAATCTCGTTCTAATAAGTAGGGTACTTGAATCACAATGTATGATCAAATTAAATAAAGCATGACATTTTCGATTAATGAAAAGTGAATAAATGAATTATTATATTATTATTATTAGTCCCTTGGGTTCCTAGTGGAACATAGGGCTTCAGTAGCACGCCTCCAGTGACCTCTGTTCTCTGAGATCTTTTGAACCTGGTTCCACGACAGCCCAGAAGCTCTCATTTCCTCCTCGCACGACCTCCTCCATGTCACCCTCGGACGTCCAACTCGTCGCTTCCCATGGGGATTCCACTCGAGGGCCTGACGCGTGATGTCCTCAGTCGGCCTTCTCAGTGTATGCCCAATCCATCTCCACTTCTTCCTGCATATTTGTTGCGTGATAGGTTCTTGGTTGGTTCGTTCCCAGAGTTCCTTGTTGCTTATTTTTTCTGGCCATCTGATCTTCAGCAGCGAGCGTAAGCAGTTGTTGATGAATGTCTGTAGTTTATTGGAAATGCCTTTCGTGACGCGCCAAGTCTCTGAGCCATACAAGAGCACTGACTTGACGTTGGTGTTGAAAATCCGTATCTTGTTCCGCATGCTGAGTGCAGAAGATCTCCACACTGGTTTCAGGCTAATGAATGCCTGTCTTGCTTTTCCGATTCTGACTTTGACGTCCTCGTCCGTCCCGCCTGTAGTTGAAACAGTGCTTCCTAGATAAGTGAAGGAGGTTACTTCCTTCAAGTTTCTCCCGTTGACGGTGATTGGAGTTTGTTGTTGTTGTTGATGGTGGTGGTGCGGTATCTTCATCACTTCTGTCTTCTCTATATTCACCTGAAGTCCCGTCTTAGCTGCCTCCTCTGTCAACTTGTTAGTTTTTGCCTGCAGATCTTCAAGTTTATGTGACATTAGGCATAAGTCATCGGCGAAATCCAAGTCTTCTAGGTTCTTTTCCGTCGTCCAGTGTATCCCCCTCTTCTCGCTGCCTACTGTTTGCTGCATGATCCAGTCCACCACAATTAGGAATATCATGGGGGATAGTAGGCAACCTTGTTTCACTCCTGTCTTCACTTCAAAGGCATCACTGAGCTTCCCATTGTGGATTACTTGGCATGTGGCATCTTCATATAGTTGTTGAATGAGGCGGATAAAGGTTTGCGGTACTCCGTAGTATTGAAGCAGTTTCCAAATTACTTCTCGGTCGACGCTGTCAAAGGCCTTCTCAAAGTCGATGAAGTTGAGGTATAGAGCTGATTGCCATTCTACGCTCTGTTCTATGATGATACGAAGCGTTGCAATTTGGTCAGCACATGATTTGTACTTCCTGAAGCCTGCCTGTTCCGGTCGCAGTTTTGAATCCAGTGCGTCTTTAAGCCTCTCCAGGATGATGCGGCTTAATATTTTACTTGGGGTGGATAGGAGAGTGATTCCTCGCCAGTTCTTGCAAGCACTGAGGTCTCCCTTCTTCGGCAGTTTGACAAGGTAACCCTTCTTCCAATCGTCAGGTACCTTCTCTTCCCTCCACACCTTCTGCAATAGTGGTGTGAGCATGTCCGCTGTTGTCTCTGCATCTGTTCTCAGTGCTTCTGGCGGTATTCCATCTGGTCCTGCTGCTTTCCCGCATTTCAGTAGCTTTATGGCGTTCAGGACTTCCATTTTCGTTGGGGGATTTATGTTCACTTGTAATTCAGCGGCTGCAGGTGGTATTTCTGGACGAAGTGCAGGTGGTGGTCGATTCAAGAGCTTCTTGAAGTGGTCGGCCCATCGTTTCCTCTGTTTCTCTTCTTTTGTAATTAAATTTCCTTCTTCATCTTTTATTGGTTTCATCTGTGTTGGTCTCTTCCCTGATAGCAACCTGGTTATTTGATACAATGTCGTCAGGTCTCTCTTACCTGCAGCCTGTTCTGCTTCACTTGCCAGTGTGTCGTAGAAGTGTCGTTTGTCTTTGCGTGCACTCTTCTTCACTTCTTTATCCAGTGTTTTATACATTGTGCTCAGTTCCTCTTGTCGTTGAGCATCCTTGCACTGGTTTATCTTCTGCTTCACCATCCTCCTCTCCTCTATCAGCTTCCAGGTATCCGTCGAGATCCATTCCTTGTCTTCTTTCTTCTTCCTTCCTAATACTGTTGTGCAGGTTTCTTTCCACATAGCTTTCAAAGACTTCCAGTGTTCTTCTACACAGGTTTCTTCAGGGATGTCCCTCGACGTCTCCCATTTTGTCTTGATGGCTGCTTTGAAGATCTCCTTTGTAGTTTCATCCTTCAGTTTCCGAGTGTTGTACTTGAATTGAGGTCTATCACCAGCTTCCTTGAAGGCTTTTAACTTGATTTCGAAGGTTCCTTGCACTAGATAGTGGTCTGAACCTACATCTGCTCCTCTTCTTGACCTTGTGTTAAGTAGACTGCGTCTCCATTTTCTTGAGATTGAGATAAAGTCGATTTGGTTTTTAGTGTGTCCATCTGGTGAAATCCATGTCGCTTTGTGGATATCCTTGTGCCTGAACACACTGCCTCCAATCACCAAATCGTTGAATGCACAGAATTCTGCAAACAATTCTCCATTCTCATTCATTTCACCTAGCGCCTCTCGACCCATGGTTAGTTCTCTTCCCGTGTTGTCCCCTCCCAGTTTGGCATTCATGTCGCCCATTAGAATTTTGATATCGCCAACTGACGTCTTGTCCAGTGTTGACTGAAGTTGTCTGTAGAATTCCTCCTTTTTCTCTTGCTCTGCATTATTTGTAGGTGCATAACATTGTATGATTGTGACCTTTCTTCCTTTTGAGTTGAATCTTGCTGACATGATCCTGGAGGAGATTGGTTCCCACTGCATGAGAGCCTTCGATGCTCTTGAGGACATCATGATAGCCACTCCCTCAGTGTGCTCGTGGTTGGCGTCTGGGTGACCGGAGTAGATTATTGATTCTCCCGTTGACAGTTTGGAGAGTCCACTCCCATTCCATCTGCTTTCGCAAATCCCAAGCACTTCGATGTTATACCTTCTCATCTCCTTTGCAATCTGGGCTGCCTTACTGGGTTCAAACATCGTGCGGACATTCCATGTCCCCACGTTTACTTTCGCTTTCATCGAGAGAAGACACATCGGCCAATTGGCTTCCCGAAGGCTTTCACCAACTGGCGTCATTTCGCCTCTCCGATTCCAGCGGGGAATAAGTTTGTTTTCATTTTTTATATTTTGTTTGTGCTTTGAAGTTTCTTTAGCGGTTAGATTTGTTTTACGGGGTAGGGTTGCTAGCCCTATGCCCAACCTTCCCTCTTTACCCGGGCTTAGGACCGGCTAGTAACTAGTAAACTAGTTAACCAGGCGAGGTTGAATAAATGAATAGTTAAGTAAATCAGTGGCTGTGTAGTTAAGACAATAACTAGGAGTTGGATAGTGCACAGTAGCAGTGGTGGGATAATAAAAACTTCTAAGTTTAGTGAATCAAGTGTCACCGCTGTAAGCAATCAGTCATTTCTTCAGACGCTTACTCTGTTTGATAAGCCTAACTCGACTGATCCAAACGCATTCACAAGAAACCCGAAAATGATATCTAGTGTCTGAAGCCAAACTTGAATTGAACCAGTAGTTGAATGTCCCAGCACTGTCGATAGGTGTCAGGGTGAGTAGTTAGATGCCGTCAGTTCAAAACTTACCGAAACTCTTGTTTTCGCTCAACTGCATCCATCATCTCTGTACACTGGTACCAGTTTAAAGGCTGAAACTAGTTCAGATGATGTGGTTAGTATTGGCTATCATTCTAATGATAATAATTGATGATATGTTCGTCTATCTGCAATTTTATGTTGTTACATTTACAGACAAGGGTGATTTCACACCTACATCTTCATGCTTCTTGGGCACAAATGCAGTTTAACGCTAAGATTTCGCCGACCAGGTTTATCTGGTAGTTAGAACAATCCGGATAGTGGATACAGCTCCATATATAGTTTACTGTTACGTTACTTTTTGTGACATTTGACGACAAATATACACCGCAAGTTATTATTATGGAAATTGTCGACATTTCCCGTTGGAAACTAGGAGGCATTTATTGACGTCAGTTCTAAGTGTTCTTAGAATCAATTCACATTTCTTTATTCCCTCACAAAAATTCACCTGGAGTACATGCTATATACTATTGCAACCAGTTATTACTTCAGGATGTCTTTCTGTTGGAAAAGTATAAAAACTTCCGAAATAGCATTCACAAACTATGAATGGAAGTGTAGATAAGTTTTTGGACTACTGAAACAACCTTCTCTTAACCGTACATCTCTCAATATAACAGACATTTCTTCGAATACTCTATGTCAATTAGATACCCATAGGTTGATCTGAATTAGATTTATGATAGGCCAAACAGCTATTATTTCACCAGTGGAGCTAATTTTGACAGCTCTATACTGTAAGTTCATAACTGATTTTCTATCTAGTGGCAACAATGTTTTGTCCAGCAAGGTGCGTGTAAAACAACAAAGAAATAAAGCAACCTGGATTGGTTCAATCAATGTAACTTCAATGTGAGATCTTCCAGAATTGAAGTTATACCGTAAGGTTCATCATCCATAGGATAGTATTTTAAGGTCAGTCTTCAGGAGAATCACTATTATGAGTAATTCGGAAATCCATTGAGCTAGTAGTCAAAAACATGAATCACTGTACTACCTAGGGTGATGATTCTCTTCCTTAGACTAATTCCAGACAAATTAGTCAGTTTCGAGGTTTTGTTGAATTTGTTATCGCTGTTCTAGGGTTTGAGAGATATAATACCGGCCTTTTGAGCTGGTTATGCTTATTTCTTCTAAAAATATCAAGGCAAGTTACGCTCATGCTAGGAACAATACATACTCTTTGATACAGGCAGTGTTCTATGAGTAACTTAGTGTAACTCCCTATGTAAGAGATTAGTAACTTAGTTGAAAATATGATCGATTTCTACACCATGATAATTCGACCTGAGTCATATGATTTCGTTTGTCAAGCTTCTCCTCTTTGTGGCAGAACTGAGCTATTCTTGAAAACCGAAATGAAGAAAGTTACGAAAATTGCCTAATATATATTAGAGTGATGAAAAGTTGCTGGAGGATTTCAGCATCGTATTGTGGTTAGGTGCTTTTCATGGTTGGATCGTAAAACATGATTTCTTTCAAATAGCTTGCATAATCAACAAATGATCTCGCGTTCACAGAAATACACATAAACACATACTAGCAATAAAAATGCACACAGTATATACTAAGAGTTGGTGCGTCTCAAGTCAATTATGATCTTAAATTCTGAAGTTCGACCATCTGCAATAACAGAAGTAAGTATAAAGAAATTCAAAGTAACATCCCCACCTGTATGATTAGGATTCCTGATCAAATCAATTCGCATCTCTGAACTGCAGTACTGATGATTAGATTGATATGCTCCACAGGCATAATTTAGTCTTGCATTCATAATCGTACGAAAAGAATCTGTTGGTTTTATTTTTACACACAAAACTCGCTCACCACTGGTGGACTTTGTGATAGTCAGGTGAGGAACTGAATGTTCAAACATTTCTCTACTACGTGGTACTTGATTATTGAAAAGAACAGGAAATAATGTCACTCATTGAAGCATGGTGCCATACAAAGTCTTCATAGTGAATATTCGTGAGTCTAGATGATACACATAATTTTACTGAAGAAACACGAAACGTTACTTCCAGATAGAGTTATCTATCAGTCAAAGAGTATTCTAACCACTATGATTCTTTAACCATATGAAACAAGTTACTGTAGTTTGATGAAAGTAATATGTCGTGCATTTATTTATAGTAGCACTAACATGGACAGAACAGCATCAGAATCCGTAGTCAAGGAAACTTCTTCACCCAATAGTTAGCCATCATATTTTAAGTTAAACAAACTATTTATCGAATGTCTCAACCAACCTGTTCTCCAGTGATTAAATAACCTTGAATTCCCAATAAGTATGTAGTGATACTTATCCAGATTTCATTCCACATGATTGATCGTAATTTGAAGAGATCAAATAATAAAATGCCACCATTGTATCCATAACCCTAAAACAAAGCAAACGCAAGAAATTCGTTAAAATCACCACTTGGCTATTCTCATTCTTCTTTTGGAGATTCGCATAACTGAACAGACCAATCGGTGAACCGAAACAGGTTCTTTAAACAAATATCTGTGATCTGGTCTGGTCTGGGTTATATGCTTGCTAGTGGTTAGCGATGAAACTCATGAGACATGTATGGTCAACTGCCTACATTCTATCTGGTTTTGACGTTTTCCATCCGATTTGATAACAGAAAGTGTCGAAGTGTTTGTACGAAGATCCGATAAGCCAACAGACAACAATCAATCCCACCTTACAAATCAACACCAGTAAAGGTCGAACGAAATTCCAATCACAACTGATCTTCATCTGACAAAATATGAATCGCCTAACTCATCAGCCCAGTGAACAGGACTGCAGTATTTGTCGCGATGTGCACTCAGTTCAACTTTCCATGGGAACATAAAGATTGCAATCTTAAATAAGACGAAAGGCCCCTTAAAATCTTGAATACTAGCTACTATTACATGTAGAAGTTATCAAATGATACTAATAAAACCACTGGAGGAATCCATTTGCTCTGAATCCTACTGTACATATATATTTATATATAGGATTGGTTGTGTTTAAACTTCAATCTTTTCCGACCTTGATATGTTTGAATAAACAAGTCACCTCATAATTATTAATGTGTGCACTACAGCAATACTGTCTGTCAACGAATGCACTACTGAACACAACTTTAATCAATTCACAATGACAGTGTCTTTTATTACTCATTTCACCATGTAGAAGATAACTTGAGTCTAATGAATATGGCATATTCCAATATGTTCCTCCATCAGTTCTTATTCGCCGATACAGATTGCTGACCAAGGTCACATAGACAATGGCTTGCCCATCAGACTCTCTTGCATCCATAAAAAGTTATCCCTCATTCATGAATTATCTATGCATCTCAACATAACACGTTTTTAATCAGATGTATTCAAAGAAATGACATGTGCTATCCTCAGAAAACTGAATATCGTAAACTGATCACCACTTAATCAGTAAAACATGTGAGCTTTGACAGTTTGCTGGTCTCCCTGAATAGGTAAAACACTAGCGAAAAGTTGACTGTTCTCTATCTTATGATCGGTTTCAGCTGAATACCAATTGTTCTCAATGTGCCAAAATTAATACACATTAGTTAGTCCTTCTTGAAATCACATGAATACATACATATTATGCAAATGTTAGACTTACCTCCCATTCTTTGATCAAGTCCTTCATAACGTTTTCAAAATGAGGATTTTGCTCCAACGCAATACCTATCATCTTTTACAGAAAAATGTGGGTTTACAAAGAAGAAATAAAAAGCCTACAAACTCCCAGAATGTATAATATTGATGATGACACTGACACCGACATGTTTCGTATAATCTCTTGAATTAACTAGTTGGCATTTCAGTGTTTAACTCATCAACTGTTTACAATCAGTTGTCAGAAAAAGACCGAAAAGACAGTTTTCATGTACACGGCACACTCAAGGTTTGTGCAAAGTACATCATAGATCAGATAGATGCGATGTATGCAGTAGGTTGCATGGTTACATTCGCCCGAGAATTCATCGCTAAAAATGAGGATTAAAAAGTTTGTGATTCTTTGGACCTTAATATTTGACAACAGACATTTCCTTATCATGTGTAGTGATATCGCCAGCACTTAATTCACCAAGATATTAACAAAGCATTTATGTGACATCAAGGGTAAATTTGTTAGTTATACGGTTAGTTTCGGTTATGTCACCAAGCAGTATGGTGAAACATCCATAGTGAAATGTTAGCTTTCATAACAACTTCAAAAATTATCAGTGGATAATGCTTTAAGAGAACTTGAATAAAAACTGCTGTTATCGCATTGTTATCTAAAAATTTCATAAGTCTAGTTCAGTGTACAATCCTCAGAGACAATGCACAATTAGGAAACAAAGATTTTTGCTTCTCACTTCAGCGTCATTTTGATGATCAGCATAGCGTATTCAAGTAACTGATAGGCTAATTGGATGTAAATTATATTTCCTGTTACTTCCTGCCCTGTCATTACCCAAATCCATGAAACTAGATAATATTTTACAACACATTTTCAACGTTCATGTTTCTGAGAGTTTGGTCTTTGTGCATATCCACCAAATTTTGTTTGCCACTTATAGCGACCCTCCTCAGGTCATTTACTACTTTGATATTCATTACGAGCTAATCCCAAGTATACTGTAACAGCATTCTCTCACGACTAACAATATGTGGGGAACTAGGAGTTAGGCTTGTTCAAGGGTACTCAATTCTAGGGTCATATCTTGAATGGTTTAGATAAATACCTTATTCTTGGCCCTATGTCAAATATACACTGCTCAAAATTGCTACAGTTGATGAAATACAAATTTTATGAATAAATTATACTGCATGGCATTTGAGGAGTGTTAGATAAGTTTTTTACTCCGAGTCATCGAAATTTCTGAACTGAGGCCGCTGATTTATAGCCTTACGTAGATACAGTTATTCCACAAATAATATTTTGACATTATCAGAGTATGCATTCATTACGAATTCCAGTTACAGGCTTTGTGTTTCTTTGAATAATCCTGTAGACTTCATGTTTCTAAACAAAGAGCTAAGATGGCGTTTTCAATAGACACTGTACGTGTTCATGGTATCTTGTAAAACGATCAAAACGAACCAACGTTTCTTTTATATGTGAAAAAATTTAGGCTAAATTGTCTCGAGACTCGCTTATCTACGTTGTTAATAATAGCAGGCTAAAGTCTTCACTAGTTTTTGTCACACACCATACACACAAAACATATCATTGAAATAGATTTTCATCAGCGTACAGGTAGCTAGCTGTACTATAATTTGGCATAATTTTTAGTTCAGAATACACAATACATTCCTCATTTCTGCTAGAGAGTGTATTGGATACACTTGCCATAATCCTATCATTCTGTTCTCCTTAATAGTTTTCTTTACTTTAAATTCCACACAGTACCATGAAACAGACGAAAAATTCGTATGACTTCCAATGATAACAGTACAAATATTATTTTATGATGAAGGACAATTTGTTCCAATCTCAAGTGCAACTTATGGTCGGTATAAGCAACCTTATCATAATTATTTGCTGATAATTTGTAATTTTCCGTTATTATACTGGATCGATTTGAATGTTATGGTTTGCACAATTCTCTTTATGTTGTCTCACAGAATGACTTCCTATTCACTTAGTTGGTAATCGAATTTGTTGTCAAAATGGTTAGACATCTATTTATTGACTTGGTAAATAACCAAAATTTGAGGCCAGTCACAAATAACTACTATGTTAATTATCACAAGTTAGCTTGTTTAGTAAATGATTCTTATCAAGTTTATTCATCTAGTTACTTAAGCTGACTTGGTTTATTTCTGATGGCATCGGTTGGTTTGAATGTCGCGTGTACTACTGCTCGGTTTTCTGCTTATGGTTCTAAATGTACCTTTTCATATATCATTGCTGCAGTCCACTTTTATAATTGACTTTCATTTCAATGACTGATGATGCTTTTGGTTCTATTGTCTGTATGTATTTGTCGTGAAGTGTTCTGAATGGTGACTGATTGACAGCATTTCAGAAAATAATATTCAATTTTCTGCAACAATCATCAAAGTATGTTGTTGACCTACATATCAGGTATGTAGCACCTTGTATTGCTTTAATTTTCCTGTGTATGAATGAGTTGAGTCAGTGTCTTATAATCTTGTCGCAGCAACTGTCTTCCTGTAGACACTAACTTCTAAATATCATTCCTTATCCTTTTAAACTTTACAGTCCAATGTACATAGTTCAGCCAACTAACTGACTGTCTATGTGTGACTGCCGTCTTTCAATCCCGTTTTTTATATTGTAACCAGTGTATGATCTACAGATCTACACTAATATCCATTAAAAATATGCATGGTTCAGAAGAATTCTATCGCATTCGGGACAAATTCCAATATTATCATACAGAAACCCAATTGTTTTCGAATGCCACTCTCCAACTGCCTATATTTGTTGATCGCATTTAAAAGTAATTCAGATTGCTATTTCGTACTTTGAGTCTTTGTTTATCACAATCATTTATTCATATTCTGAGTATTCACCCGTCTTTCATTCCCAACCATGACTTGACTTCAATACTGCTTTCCACTCTTCATTTTGTTATTCAATGCACTTTCTGAACAGTCTATTTGATGGTTTACTCAACTGGTTGATATTCAAAAGTTTGAGGACTGTAATGTTACAGATCACTATGGTTATTTGTCGATATTGCAGAAAGATCTGACGTTTTGGCTCCGAGTTCTTACGGATGATTCAAGCGCTCGGATTTGATTTACTTAGGCTTCATTTCAGCATTTGATCTTGAAACTCCTGATTGAATTCTGCACAAATATTGGGTGTAACATAGATCAAGAAGGAACATTGTTGATATCAAGAGTTACATCTGTTCGAGGATATGACGATTAACAAAACTCCAACAGTGAACTTTTATTACAGATATTTGACCTGAGGTTTTTTGTTATAGACCTATAGGTACTGAAAATCGCAGTCGCCTTGGATAAATCAGTAGTATGATTCATCTTACAACAGGTTTCCTGACAGATAACAATTGCGTTCCCATCAGGTTAAGAAGTTGTAGATGTTAAGTCAAAGTAGATTTCTTTGAATACAAGATGAAATGCCAGATTATTTTGTCGATTAGAAAGCATTGTTTCGATGGATAAGTTCTTGCTTCATGAAATCATCGGTGGTCGCGACATGAATGCCAAACTGGGAGGGGACAACACAGGAAGAGAACTCATGATGGGTAGAGAAGCACTCGGTGAGGTGATGAACGAGAATGGAGAATTGTTGGCAGAATTCTGTGCATTCAACGATTTGGTGATTGCAGTGAGGCACTGTGTTCAAGCACAAGGATATACACAAAGCGACCAACATGGATTTCACCAGACACCAGGACACACCACACTAAAAATCAAATCGACTTTATCTCAATCTCAAGAAAATGGAGACACAGTCTACTTGACACAAGGTCAAGCAAGAAGAGGAGCAGATGTAGGCTCAGACCACTCACTGTCTAGTGCAAGGAACTTACCTTCCAAATCAAGTTGAAAGCCTTCAAGGAAGCTGGTGATAGACTGCAGTTCAGGCACAACACTAGGAAACTGAAGGATGAAACTACAAAGGACATCCTTCACGGCAGCCAGCCATCAAGACAAAATGCGAGATATCGAGGAACATCCCTGAAGAGACCTGTGTGGAAGAACACTGGAAGTCATTGAAAGAGATGTGGAAAGAAATCTGCATAACCGTTTTAGGAAGGAAGAAGAAAGAAGATAAGGAATGGATCTCGATGGACACATGGAAGCTGATAGAGGAGTGAGAGGAGGATGGTGAAGTAGGAGATAAACCAGTGCAAGGATGCACAACGAGAAGAGGAACTGAGTACAATCTATAAAACACTACACTGGACAAGGAAGTGAAGAAGAGTGCACGCAAAGACAAAAGATACTTCTACGAAACACTGGCAAGTGAAGCAGAACAGGCTGCAGGTAGGAGAGACGTGACAACATTGTATCAAATAACCAGGTTGCTATCTGGGAAGAGATCATCGCAGACGGAACCAATAAAAGATGATGAAGTAAATTTAATTACGAAAGAAGAGAAACAAAGGAAACGATGGGCCGACCACTTCAAGAAGCTCTTGAATCGACCACCACCACCACCACCACCTGCACTTCGTCCAGAAATACCACCTACAGCCCAGCCACAGAACTACAAGTGAACATAAATCCTCCAAGAAAAGTGGAAGTCCTGAGTGCCATGAAGCTACTGAAATGCGGGAAAGCAGCAGGACCAGATGGGATCCCGCCAGAAACGCTGAAAACAGACGCAGAGACAACAGCGGACATGCTTACACGACATCACTATTGCAGAAGGTGTGGAAGGAAGGAAAGGTACTTATTTGCCGATTGGAAGAAGGGTTACCTTATCAAACTCCCAAAGAAGGGAGACGGAAGTGTTTGCAAGAACTAGCACGGAATCACTCTCCACTCCTGTCCACCCAATGCAAGCAAAATATTAAGCCGCATCATCCTGGACAGACTAAAGGATGCACTGGATTCAAAACTACGACCGGAACAGGCTGGCTGGCTGGCTGGCTGGATTCAGGAAGAACAAATCATGTGCAGACCAAATTGTAACGCCACGCTACGCATCATCATGGAACAGAGTATAGAATGGCAGTCAACTCTACACCTCAACTTCATCGACTTTGAGAAGGCCTTTGACAGCGTCGACCGAGAGGTAATTTGGAAACTGCCTCAATACTACGGAATACCACAAACCTTTATCAGCCTCATTCAACAAGACGCCATATGCCAAGTCATTCACAATGGGAAGCTCAGTGATGCTTTTGAAGTGAAGTGGAGACATGAGTGAAACAAGGCCCCCACCTACTATCATCAATGATATTCTTGATTGTGGTCGACTGGATCATGCAGCAAACAGTGGGGAGCGAAAAGAGGGGGATGCGTTGGACTGCGGAAAACAACCTAGAAGATCTGGATTTCGCCTATGACTTGTATCTGATGTCACACAAACTTGAAGATGTACAGACGAAAACTAACAAGTTGGCAGAAGAGGTGAGGCAGCGAAGACGGGGATTCCTTCAGGTGAATATAGAGAAGACAGAGGTGATGAAGATACCGCACCAACAACTCCAACAACAAAAACAAACTCCAGTCACCATCAACGGCAGAAACTTAAGGGAAGTAACCTTCTTCACCTATCTAGGAAGCACTGTTGCAACTACAGGTGGCACAGATGAGGACATTGAAGCCAGGATCGGAAACACAGCAAGACAGGCGTTCATTAGCCTGAAACCAGTGTGGAGTCTTCTGCACTCAGCATGTGGAACAAGATCCGGATTTCCAACACCAACATCAGTCAAGTCAGTGCTTCTGTATGGTCCAGAGACTTGGCGCGTTACGAAAGGGATTTCCAATAAACTACAGACATTCATCAACAACTGCTTACGCTGGCTCGCTACTGAAGATCAGATGGCCAGAAAGAATAAGCAACAAGGAACTCTGGGAACGAACCAACCAAGAACCTATCACGCAACAAATATGCAGAACGAAGTGGAGTTGGATTGGGCATACACTGAGAAGGTCGGCTGAGGACATCACGCGTCAGGCCAGGCAGTCGAGTGAAACCCCGATGGGAAGCGACGAGTTGGACGTGCGAGGGTGACATGGAGGAGATCGTGCGAGGAGGAAATGAGAGCTTCTGGACTATCGTGGAGCCAGGTTCAAAAGATTTCAGAGAACAGAGTTCACTGGAGACGTGCTACTGAAGCCCTATGTTCCATTAGGAACCCAAGGGACTAATAATGATAATAATAATAATAATCAGTGGTCATTTTAATATATTTGGCACATATACATATACACATCACGTGAATCGGAGTCAATGATCACTCGATTAGTGTGTAGCTCATATTACTCTACATATAAGTGACTGCTAAAGTAAAATTAGGCAGTCACACCTAAACATCAATTGACTTTTATTTTTGGTCAAATAAACAACAAAGACCATAATAATCAAGTGTGCAAACTGTCAATTTACCTTCTTTAAATAAAAACCTGAGACCTTTTCTACGCAAAATTACTTTAACTTAGAATTAATTACGTACCTGGGTTTCTTGAAATTTTTCAAAATGATTCCATAGTTCAACAATGTCGGCATTAAAGAGTATGTCAATATCAAGTACAATAACCTAGGGAGAAAATAAAAATAATAACTGCACAAATTATCGTTATCATATATTGCATTATTCATATTGTAATAATATTACTTTCATTTTTGTAGATCAACTATTGTTTTTACAGCATATGAAACATGAGATTTGGCTATCGCCATTCATGTGGCTTGTTTCGGTAACTTTTGACACATTAAAAGGAAATGACCAAATACTTGTCGACAGTGTAATCCTCTATTCTGCCAATATCAGAGATTGCAGCTGGTTTAGAAACTGGGAAATGGACATGCGTCGAGCGGGCGAAAATGATTGACAAGGGCTTTTAAGAAATATATTTTACCTTCATTCAAAGTCATTGTCAGGACATATCCACAACCTCAAATATACTAAATTCTTATTTGAGATCTGCAGTTGAACATTTATTTCATTCTCGTAGTCATGGGTGTTAGCTATGAATGCTATGATATCTATTTTCTCAGAATTGGCACCACTCTTCACGATTTAGTGAGCAGATTTCAGAGAAGGATGCATCAGCCGTAGGTTGTGTAAGGTCTTCTGATTCTTAATATTTACTTCCCAACGTAATCTTACAACATCTTTCAATACTGAATTAACTCATGCATTATTTTCAACCAGAAATTGAAGCCAATTTTACGATAAGTCAGATGTGATGTGCCATCAACTTCCTAAATGAAGTGATAGCGTGTTCACAATGCATTAGTTATTTCGAGCTGACCAGCAGTTGAGTGGCTTTCAACACTTATATCTCACTATTTTTATGAAAATATCAGTGCAGTAGATTGTCATAGATTAGTGAGTATATTGAGCAAAACAGAAAGCCCATCCACAAATTTGGCGTTGCATAGTTCAAACCTCATTATGCTGTAGAAATCAGGTCTTTTTATCAGCACAAGTTGTGTAAATGTCTCAGAAGAGAATCATAAAATTATGTTTTACATGTAGCAACTCATTGTGGCCTGAGGGACAAAATGTAAATAAATCTAAGGTAACAGATATCTAATAGGATTTGAATATATTCTTTGTGTATCGTACTACAATTATGATATTAATGCCCTTGCAAATTCGAGGGAAGTCAACATGTTGCACACATTTGATTGATAAGAGATGTCTGAGTTGTCCGCTGACTCTACAGTCTCTCTAAACTGGTGATGATAAAGGGATCAGTGAAAGAGTGACATCACATATCACTACATCACTGTTGCCTGTGGATGATGTATGGGTTGCAGCTAACGGTGGTGTTAATATCTGTATTGGAGTATGTTTACAGTGACACAATTCCACCTTATACGGAAACTCATACTGTGACCTTCTTTCTATAACTCCACTGGTATTACTGCATACAAGTTCTCGTGGTATTCTAACTTAATTTTTAGTAATGAAGAGTACTCACAGGCATTTATCTGACACTGACTACTGAAAATCTGTCCTGTTTTTCTGTTAAAATCAACAGAATCTCAATCTGACCCTGAAAGTATGCAGGAAAGAGTCGTCCAGAATTGGCTAGCATCAGTTTTCACTATTTGTATAATCTACTGAAGTATCTTTGAATTACAAGAGCCTGGCAACTGCAAGTTTCATGCAGTTATATGATGGAATTAAAGGCATTTTACTGAAATGAAATGATCAGCGTGTTCTGTTGTGAGAAAATCACCTAATCTTCAGTGAACACTGATGTTCAATTCTATTGCCTTATCGCCACTTTAGAAAGCAGTTTAAATCCACAAGCCAAAATGTACAGTTCAAATCACTGCTTGCATATATCTATCTAAGCCAGTATAGTTAACAGAGAGCTTAAACTAGAACACAGAGATTGTTTACATACCTTGTGAACAGATGAGGGAAGAATATCAGGTAGTAATAATTTCAAAAACGGCTTCGCTCCTGAAGAATGTTTTGATACGATCCACTGAAGATTATCCTACAACAAGGATTACACACAAAGACAAGTGATATCAGAATACTCACCAATTATTTTGAAGAAAATGATACCATAAAATCACTTAGGTAAAACATGCAAAAACTGAAAGTGCAATCATCTTCTCCGACTGCATGATTAACTGGCTGGGAAAATATCTCACTTTCATGAACAGGAATTGCACAATATCTCTCTAAAATTATTATTATTATTAAAACGTGCTGTCGTTAGTATTATCAGGTTGCGAGAAGTACAGTGAAGCGAAGTTTTTAAGAAAGAAGTTCACTAATGTTCTCTGAATGAATCTAAAATACACCAAGCTTGTAAGTGTTAAACTTCTACGATATAACACAAAACTTGGTTAACTCGGCTTATCACGATAAGAAGGCACATTGATGCCAGTACACACAAAAAATAGCTACACCGTCTGCCTCATCAGATGAGCGGTTTGTTAACCAGAAGAGTTGGGTCTGACTTAACATTGTTCCTTTCCCTATACACTTTTTCTCATTGCCGAAACCCGTCACTGTGCCGTGTGTCAGCAGCAATAACTCATATGTGTGAATGTCAGCAAAAACTACTGACCAATTGTTAGGTTTGTGATCAAGAATTGATAGGTTATTTGTGCATTTAGCAAAAAGGGTACATTACAGAAGGTGTAAGCAATGAGAAGGCCATGCGTCTTCAGAAAGTTCACGAGGTTCAAATCTGCATCTACTACTGTGATCACACATTGGGGAAGTAGTAGTTTTACTGGCCCAAGTAGTTCGACCAGTCGAAAAATTGAAGACATTTACTACAGGGTGTACGATGTGATACTTCTGATATTAGCAGATTGAAGTTGGAATAAAGTGACCTAAAATATGCCGGTCATTCTTGCTGTCTTGTCTCCTAACCACTGTTGGTTAATGTTTTGTGGGAGTAGAACTGCATTTCCTTCAGACAAGTTATCACTTCATACATACTGAGAAATCTGCACTTGAATATAATTATGGTTCACAATAAATCAAATATTACCATTCTTTTTTATTATTAACATGTGATCATTAACAAAAGCTATAAGTCTTTCGATAATGTTTAACTCGAAGAGGAAGTTTTGTGAAGTGTGGTGTAAACACTTTCAATCTAAGAAAGCTTAAATAAAATTCACAGACTACTTTTCTTATTTTGCAGAGATTTTAATTTTAAAAAAGGCTTCTAGAAACAAGTGCCAACATGTATGCAGAGTTTAGAAGTTCAGTTCATTCTGCTTACTTCTTGGGATAATTCAATGAAGAACAAATTTTGATGTAGTGAAATCATTGAGCTTATAACGAAATTATTAATTACGTCATCGATGGCGAATTTCCTTGGTGATAGATTCCTTTCTAAGTCAAAGATGTTCAATTTTATCGAATCCATTTGATTAAGAGCATGTCGTCTTAGTGTTTTAGAACTCGGATAAATCTTGTTACAACGTAAAGACTTGCAATGTAATTTCGAGTAGCCTGTGTCTTGTATGCACTCATTACTAAATTCCACTGACGTTTTAACTTCGGCGAGTCTAGCATTATATTTCAGAAACTCATTCAGTGCCTTCAATACAATAGGGTATCCACGCGATTTATGAATGCTGAAAATTCCCATTGTCAACATTAGAAGAAGACATATAAGCGAACAATATTGTTTTCAGTTAGCTGTCATCAGGGTTTATTTACGCTAATATATATAAATGTTCTCACATTAAACCAATCATGGTGGATTCTTTAGCCGTAGTAACTTGGAGATGCAGCATGTAACTAGTAGATATCTAGACAGTAATAATAATTATCATTAGTATCTCAATGATGATCAGAGTAATGGAAAGAGCATGGCACTACAAACATTAGACAAACAATGTAGATCAAAAGTAGGAAGATAAAAGTTACGTGATAATGAAGGGTGAAATGTGTAGTCTAAGCAAATAAACATGTATGGAAGGGGTAGGGGAAGAAAATTGAATTTATCTTTGAAGTCATTTACTATATTTTCTCTGGCCTAGGCAGAGATAAAGGCTGCACAAGCTTCTTCTGTATACAAGGACTAGGCTCGTTTTTTATAATTTCAATAGCCTCAGCTATATGTAAAATGCGAGTGCAAATTCCATTCGTAAGGTTTTGTGGAATGTGATACAAGAAATTGAACACCCGAATAAGGATCTCACGGGATTATTCCCCAACATAATAGGCACCACTATCGATACAGCCTACTCTGTGGACACAATTCTGTGTAGAGGTAAAAGGAATTTTATCTTTTAAGTGTACGAGAGTATTCCTGAGAGTGTTGATTGTTTTCTAGAAGGTTCTAGTTCAGTGCTGTCTTAAAATTCATCGCAGCTCTTCAGTTACACCCTGGTGGGATGGCAGAACTATTGTGCCAATCCAGGAATCATCATTTGAATTTCCTCTTGGATCCTTCTACTCATATTTCTGAATCTTTTTAATAAAATTCTTAGGGTAGTTAATGCAATTTAATACATCTAACATCTTTCTTACTTCCGTTCGACTGTCGGCTTTGTGGCTTTCCTAAGTAAATTCCGAACAAGTGAAAGCTTAGCACTGACTGGTTGTGCTGAGTTGAAATCAAAGTATCGACTTAAATGTGCTGGTTCACGATAAATCGATAAACTTAGGCTGCCATTTCCATTCCTTTTAGCTAAACAGTCTAATAATGGTAGTTCACCACTTGCATTTTCATGTTCACATGTGAATTCAATGTACGGAAAATGAGTATTAATTAACTTCGAAAAGGTTCTGAGACCAGATCTTTTTAAAATTACAAATGTATTATCCATTTATCTGAGTCAAATACGTGGTTTGATGGTGTTAGAAAAGATGATAGACTCAATGTGAAACATGACTAGGTTTGCAAGGATAAGAGTCACCGCTTCCACCATTTCTACTGAGACTATATACTTCATCACTAAAACCTAAATGAATATTTTGATAAAACATTCCTGAACCAAACAATCATGGCAAACTCTTCATTTTCCAGAAATTCCATTCATACTTGATTAAGATAGTAATGCCTTTTTTAGGGGTGAGAAGTACTTTTCCATGATGAAAAATTTCACCCATGTGAGTTGATGGTTCGGTTGAATGGAGTTTAAAAAAATTACATATGAACTGAAAACTAACCAATAGCAATGTGAAAACTGACCAGTAAGTCGCTATGTACACTCTATCCTTAAGAGTGAAATAACCAATTAGACTTTAGTATTTCAGGAAAAGCTGCCTTTCCAGTAGGAATGGAGAAACCGAATTGGTTATTTCGATTGTTGCTAGGGTTCGTCTTTAAATTCACTCTTGAAAGTGACTCATAATACAGTTTTCATGACTGAGGGGAAATCCACTCCTAATCTGCCTCACAGCAAATTAATTTTTGTAAGAGACTAAAAACTGTGCCAGATATACGAAGATACAATGGGTGACCATTGCCTTGTTCTCTTATCCAAATGATTTGAATACTTTTGTCATGAAACTAACGAGATCAAATGAACCTCTTTTCAAGCGTTTACGGTACAATTTCTCATTTATAAGTTGATGCACTTTGTAACTTTATTCCGATTACATTTTTTATTCTGTTGAGTTGAGAATAATGACCTACTAAATCCATTGTATGACAATATCAAAGTGTAACTCTGAAGATATCCTATATGACACAGTCTTGAAGTAAGGCAGTTATTTCTTTGGGAAACGTCAGGTTTCCTGTTTTTCTTGTAACCAAGTACTTTAAATAGTGCTCAGGGTGAAACTCAAACTTCTTCAATCCTAAATATAATGTGAATAACACTGCTATTTAAAAATATATGCCACCTCACACACCTTTTACCATTTTCAAAAACTAATCCACAAAACTTACCATATGTTTACTACAGTCATAAAAGTGATACTCCAGATCACGTATCTTCCACATATTCATTAAATATGATAAATCACCACTTGATCTATTATTGGTCAACAAATGAAGTGTAATTGGATAAACATGTGATGTTCTCTCTTCATATTTTGGACAATTATCAGTGAATCTATCACAAAGATTTGATATGCAACAATTTTTTAAATCACATCTAAATCTTTCTTGATTATAGAAGATGGATTTCAGAAGACTATCCAAGTAAAATAGACCTGGTCCTCCGTCGACCAGCAAAGCGATATGAATCTTGTCCGCCTAAAAGATTAAAAGGAAAACAACTTTCTTTGTTACCAATGCTTTTTCCCATCTGAACCATAAGTAATGAAAAATAGGTCATGAAATATAAGCGTAAACGGCTTCTGATTATATCGTTACCAAGCTTTGTGTTATATATGCATGTACAAAACATATAAAGTAGGAATGGTGACTTGTCAGTCGGTAATGAGGGTGTAGGATGAGAACTACCCAGTAATGGTAATAAAAGTGATAATCCAAGTGGTGACAGAAAAGCTAACATATTTCGTAACCGTAATGGTCAACCAAAACTTGAAGAAAACTTTAAGGCCGGTGATGTCACGTCAAGAAGCAAATAGATGAAGTCTGGATCTAAAAGTATGTCAAATATGAAAAAGGTTGTACGAAAGGGGAAAAGCGTTCCATCACAAAACATTATGCCTCATACCAGGGCAGCAGTAAGACCTGTTTAGAGGTCCTCCGGACTCATATACGAAGAATGCTTACTCTGGGCCCCATAACCTCAATCGCACGTTATTACTATTTTCTGTGTGAACCACCATGAACTGAAAGCAACTGAGAAACACGATTTCCAGTTTTTTAATTCCTGACCGCATGTATTACCTGTTCTCCGACGGACCATTAAATATGTTATACAGTGATTATTAGGAGGAATGCAGATAAGTAGCTAGATACAAGTTTGCATTAGGTGAAGACAGCCTACAGTGTGAAATTGAAAGGCAATATACAGAAGTCAGTTTTTGAAGCAGGATTCATGTATACAACCTACTGAATGAAATTTAATTTTCACAGGTACTAGGCTGCGCTCTCCCTCAACAGTTACCTGATAACCATTGGGTTGCTGAACCCAAGGCTAATAGCTTAAATATGTACACTTGTTCAACCTGTAGCCTTTTCATTTTTATCAGTGACATAAGCAATAATTTTAGGCTTACCATAAAGTTCTCCGAAACTGACGAAAATCCTGTATTCTGTCCATGAAGATCAGGAAAGACTAAATAAAAATAACTTGATATCATCAACATGATGATTAGCAAAATGTAAAAGAATAATTTAATAGTGAGTAAACCTCTTTTGAAATGACTGATAATTCTGTTAATTACGTTTTCGAGAGAGTGCTTCTGAGTAGCATCAAAGAATGGCAGCATGGTTAGCAGTTATAACTGCCATAACCATTGGTTTTGTTTTATATTTCACATTTGCTTACCAATCAAAGTTTTGTACTAGTATAGAAATGAAACAGTACATTAAAGTGAACTAGGAATGGTGACTTGTCAGTCGGTAATGAGGGTGTAGGATGAGAACTACCCAGTAATGGTAATAAAAGTGATAATCCAAGTGGTGACAGAAAAAGCTAACATATTTCGTAACCGTAATGGTCAACCAAAACTTGAAGAAAACTTTAAGGCTGGTGATGTTACGTCAAGAAGCAAATAGATGAAGTCTGGATCTAAGAGTATGTCAAATATGAAAAAGGTTGTACGAAAGGGGAAAAGCGTTCCATCACAAAACATTATGCCTCATACCAGGGCAGCAGTAAGACCTGTTTAGAGGTCCTCCGGACTCATATACGAAGAATGCTTACTCTGGGCCCATAACCTCAATCGCACGTTATTACTATTTTCTGTGTGAACCACCATGAACTGAAAGCAACTGAGAAACACGATTTCCAGTTTTTTAATTCCTGACTACTTGCATTATTTGTTCATTCTAGGATGGAACTCATTCTCCGACGGGCCATTGAATATGTTATACAGTGTTGTAATGACACTTGTAATTTTCCATTGCTCTATAGGGGCGAAATGCCTGACCTCTGTTGGGAGATGGGCTCCTATGCGGATGCCTCGATACTGCCGGATATTCGTGATATTATATTAATCTTGGTGGCTACCAGAGGAATCCAAGACGAGCGTCTCGTCTGATTTAGGACTCATCAGCTGTATAAGCCTGCGCCCCAGTGCGGAGTGATGTTTTTCCCACCGATGCTGGGACACAGCACCCATCGCCTCAAGCGCCAAAGCGTACTGGGTTAGGGCCTCGGTGTGAACAACATCACACTGGAGTGCAGTTATATCCAATTGACTAGTCCTAAATAAGACGAAACACGCATCCTGGATCCCTCTGCAGCCAGATACGAGTTCGCATCAGGTGAAGACAGCCTACAGTGTGAAATTGAAAGGCAATATACAGAAGTCAGTTTTTAAAGCAGGATTCATATGTGCAGCCTACTGAATGAAATTTAATTTTCACAGCTACTAGGCCAAGCTCTCTTTGAACAGTTACCTGATAACCATCGGGTTACTGAACCCAAAGTTAATGCCTTAAATATGTATGCTTGTTCAGCTTGTGGCTTTTCAGTTTTATTATTTTAAAGATCTCAATAGTTCATTCAGAAGAAGAATAATATGAGCGAATAGTTGTTTTCAATAACTTCTTCTTCTTCAGTCTCTACAGTTATAAATCCATGAGAATAAGTGAAGTGCAGTAGCCGAAATAGGGCAAAATATTAATAACCTAACAACTAATTTCAGGATTACCATAAAGTTACAAGCATTCACATTATAGTTGTTACTAATGTCCTGGAAGTTGACTTTTTAAACACGCTGGGGTTATACTAAAATATATTCTTACCATAAAGTTCTCCAAAATTGACGAAAATTTTGTTTTCTCTTCATGAAGATCAGTATAGACCAGATAAAAATAACTTGACGTCATCAAGATGATGATCAGCAAGATGCAAACGAATAATTTGACAGTGAGTAGACCTCCTTTTAAAGGACTGATAATTCTGTTAATTACGTTTTCGACAGAATGCTCCTGAGAAGATTTAAAGAATGGCAGCATGGTTGACAGTTATGGCTACCATAACTGTTGGTTTTGTTTTATATTTCACACTTGCTAACCAATTAACCCTCAACACAACCACTTGAAAACAGCTTATAATTCTCTCGATTGCTATTGGTTCACTCTAAACTACTGTTTCATTTCTATACTAAAACAAAACTTTGATTGGTAAGCAAGTGTGAAATATAGAAAAAAACCAGTGTTCCTATACTTGATGCACTTAATATTGTAAAAAGTTCACTTGTTGACGATCAAGTATTCCCAAATGGACGTCCATTATCAACAGAAGACATTATTAAGTGTTTAAAATTATGTTTAGAATCAACATATTTTACTTTCAGGGACAAGTTATACCGTGAAACTAATGGCATTACGATGGGCTCCCCGACATCTTTGATTGTGGCCAGTTTATATATCAAAGCATTTGGAGAAAGAGCTTTAAATAGTTTTCACTGTCAACCTAAACTTCGGTATAGATATGTAGATGATTCTACTGTGATCATCAAGAAAACAGAACTTGAAAGCTTTTTACAACATTTAAACTTGATATAAAATTTCATAAAATTTACGAATGAAACCGAATTGACTGCAGGAACTTCGAATCTTCTAGACTGTTTTATTCAAAGAACGTCTGAAGAGAAGTTTAAAATTAGAATTTATAGAAAACCTACTCATTCTGATAAACATCTAAATCTTCAATCCGACCATCCAATGAACGTGAAAACGACAGTAACTTTGAACCTTTTGAATAGGGCTGATAATATTGTGACAGATCTGGAGGATAAAGAAAAGGAAACTTCCAAAATAAAACAAGTATAAAAAGAAAATGACTATCCAAAGTCTATTATCAAGAAGAATGACAATAAGCGAACAGATACGGAAAGTAAGACTCAGAAGTTGTGGATATCAACAATGGTAATTCCATACAGGAAAGGTACTTGAGAATAATGGCAAAGAGTTTGTGCTAAATATGGTATTAAGGTATATTTCAAACCATGAAACTCCTTGAGGAAAGCCTCAGTCAAAGTGAAAGATATGACTCCAAAGATGACACAAAACAACTGTGTGTATACACTAAAATGTACAGAATCTGAAGCGAATTATATTGGTGAAAGTTGTAGACAGCTGAAAGGTAGAATGAATGAACATAGATTATGTAGCAAAGATCCACCGAAGAATGAAGTGGAGTTGAAAAGTTTGCAAAAGGGGTCAGCAATAGTAACGCACGCCATTGAAAGTAGGCACAGAATTGATGTTGACAGTAGTTCCATATTAGATTTGTTTATCTGATATAAAGTGCACAGTGATACAGTATTATTTAATTGATTACGTTTCGAGCATAAATTATTGCTCATAATCATATCAATGTGATTTATGCTCGAAAAGTAATCAATTAAATAATACTGTATCACTGTGCGCTTTATATCAAATAAATAAATCTAATATGGAACTACATTATACCACAGTGCCCAAGTTTTTCACTTATATTGATGTTGACAGTGTTGGCATATTAGGGAAGTGTTTCCATTCACATAAACAAAGATTGACCTGAGAAGCCCTGCATATTTTAACGTCAACAAATGCTTTAAACAGAAAGGAAGGAATAGATTTGTCCACTATCTAGCAGAATTTCATCCGAAAAAAATATTAAAAAGGTTGGACTTTTAAAAAGCAAACAACCCCCCGTTTTTTATACAACAATTTGTACTCACGTTGGTAGTATTGATTTTAATTTTTCTCTGCCCTTCCAATCCCAATTTTTCCTATTAACTTCATCGACCCCTTTCGTAAATTTTCATCTAAATAGTTCGACAAGTGCATCTGTGAACAGATTGTTCGAAATGTGTAGCGGCAATGCATCACATGTTTCAGATAGTCTTCGTCTTCTCATTACGCTGTTTAGAGGATCAATTGTTGTTGATGAAAGAACATATTTTCACATTTTTATACGATGATCAACGAATAACACACATTTTCATTACTATTTGTTCTTATTCTTTTTGTTCTTTATTGTTATTCGCCGTTGTTTTATTGGATCGAATAGTCATGATTAACATTCATTTTCTATGAAAATCTACACACATACAGACACACACACACACACGCGTTGATTATTGAATTTCGATAGCAAATGACAAAGACCCTATGAATTACGATGACTAATTAGAAACAATCAGTCTGAACAACAAAACAGTTAACCAATGACATAAAGACAGAAATTCATACATGTACCATTTGCTAGTTCATATGTTGATGTTGAATAAAAATCCGAATCTTCTGCTGAAGTAGCTGTGGCATATGCAGCGAGATGTTCAGAAAAAATCTTGTTTTCGATTTTCTAAACACGCTGGTACTGTAGTAAAACTTACCTATAAAATGAATCAATCTGACTCGGTGCTCAACTTCTTTCAAAACATTCCGTAACAACTATGGCCTGGATGTTTATACAACCAATAGTTATGATAATCATGACTGTTAACCCAACATTCTCTAGAAAACGCGTTTGACTTTTAGTACCCGGCCTATGAAGTGAGAGGTAGGACACTAAGTACCTGTGGGACGTTGTATCCACAAACTATTTGAAGCTTTGAAAGCTACAAAAATATGATACATACGAAGACACTAACCTCTTCAAATTCTTTGTGTACAACATTCGAAAGTACTGCAGCGCCTCCTATTGTAATCTCTGCAAACATTAAGACTTTCGCTATAACTTGGTACACATGCTTACCCTTTTGATCACGTTGCGAATGATGTGCACACGACATAGGTGATGTGGGTGCGGAAAAAACTGGGCATAATGCAGAGGAAATTGCAGGACAGTCATCTTTAATGAAAGCACCCACTCTGCGGCTTCCAATAATAATCTTAAAAAACCTCAGAAATGCACCAATCAGTTCTGATTCTCACTGCTTATGAAAACAAAAGCTTCGGAAATAAACAAGAAGTTGATGTCGATGGCTACAAACTCGTAGCTTTGTAAGTGCCGTCGAGACCCAGAAGATCAAGATAGTTTCCAGCTAATTCCAGCTGGTCGGCTGTAGCAAAAAAAAGTATTTCAGATCTCCACCCTCTGTGACAGAGAAGGATGCTGATCCACCTTGACTGATTATATGCTCCTGCGACTTTTCATAACTGCCTACAACATTGTATCAAGGGAAAATTCAATTACCGTTCAAATTACACTGAGCGAAGAGGAGATAACGCATATTGAACACGTCTTGATTATTCAGTCGTTTACTATAGTGTGCATAAACGAAATCAACAACATTAAATGCACCCGGCCCGCATATTAGCAATGACCTTATGCTCGTGGTGAGCACTCCTGTCAACTTCCGTGCCCAAGAACTACTGTCATAAAGCAGAGAATTGCAGGGATGATTGTGAGTTAACAGCCACGGAGTTACTTTCCACAAGCTTTCTAAGAACTTCGAGAGCACAAACGCCCAACAAGAACAATTCAGGGATATTCTACGAAATATATAATCAAAAAAAACAGAACTGACCTTCTTGTCACTACATCACCTATTGACCGGCGTTCACTAGCCTTAAAGCAAACAAAATAGAAGTAGGCTTTTCGGTCACCTTGCAAATGTAAGTCTCGCACAACATAGTGCGTGTACGTCTGCTTCTCATACTCCTTTAAGGCAACCTTCAAAGACTCTAAGGACGGCAATATGGCGAATTTTCAGGGACTCCATATTTCTCTTTTTCGTAGTAAATAACTTACCCAATTCAAGGAGAATACTGATGTCCAAAAAGTCATAAGTTATTATTGCCGCCTGGAAACAGATAGTCTGCATTTATACCGACAATGGTGCATGCTCCTTTGTGATTTATATGAGCAAATACAAATGGAAAAGCTCCCATACCCAAATATGATGATTAAGTCAGTAATTCTTAGTGTTACAGATTCTTTTGTGACGATTAGTCATGTGGAATGAAAGCGTCAATAATACATAGTCCACCGGAAGGGTTGTAGCTAAGAGAACAGCTAACCTGCACACAGCAACGTAGTACTTGCATAGGCTTACAGTTATCTTGCAAGTAGAAAATGACAAAATAAATGGACACAAACGGCTCACATGGAACGCGTCAATTTAAAGTGTGGTCTGTACAAGTTGACCTCTTGTTATACTTTCGAACGCTAATGGTTATATATACCGAATGATATAATACGCACGCTTAGCTGATAGCTAACTTAGTACGCAAGAGCCACTGTCTGCAATTTCGGGATGAATAGAGAGAAGACACAATAAAAAAGGCTTGGTCACTACGTTCTGGTCCAATGATCAATGAGGTGTTATGATGTCTCAGTTTGTATAAAACATTGTTATTGATCTGAATATTTTAACGTGTCATTCTCACACCAATTGCGGATAAGGTCATATCATGGTACTGGTACTTTTAATAATCTTGATATGATTTTGATTCTTCTTTCTTTCCCAAAATAGATCAGGCTGATTTATAACACACAGTGATATAGTATTATTTACTTGATAACCTTCCAAGCATAAATTATTGATCATAATCATATCAATGTAATCACATAACTTTCGACATTTGATTTGGGTGTTGGGTGTTTTGGATTGATTGTTATTATTTTAAAACGCTGGACGATGAACTTTTTTTAGTAATAAACTCTCCTATCTGCTAGCTTCGGTCTTCTCTCTATTCATCCCGAAATTGCAGACAGTGGCTCTTGCGTACTAAGTTAGCTATCAGCTAAGCGTGCGTATTATATCATTCGGTATATATAACCATTAGCGTTCGAAAGTATAACAAGAGGTCAACTTGTACGGACCACACTTTAAATTGACGCGTTCCATGTGAGCCGTTTGTGTCCATTTATTTTGTCATTTTCTACTTGCAAGATAACTGTAAGCCTATGCAAGTACTACGTTGCTGTGTGCAGGTTAGCTGTTCTCTTAGCTACAACCCTTCCGGTGGACTATGTATTATTGACGCTTTCATTCCACATGACTAATCGTCACAAAAGA